CTCTCCACTTCTTCACTTAGGAGCAAATTGCAACTCTTGTGTATGTGGTAGTGTTCCGTTTCACACTTGGCTGATCTTCTACTCATGTGTATGTGCTCTCACTATTTCTACCTTTACTTTGTCGAGTTCTCACTTGGCTGTTCAACTTCTCATGTGCTTGTGCTTTCACTACTCGTACTCTCGTCTTGTCAACTCCATGCTCTTGGTAGTGTTCCGGTTCTCACTTGGTTGTTCAACTTCTCATGTGCTTGTGCTTTCACTACTCATACTCTCATCTTGTCAAGTTCATGCATGTGGTAGTGTTCCGATTCACACTTGGTTGTTCTTCTACTCATGCGCATGTGCTTTCACTAGTTCAACCTTCACTTTGTCAAGTTTATGCATGTGGTAGTGTTCCATTTCATACTTGGTTGTTCTTCTACTCATGTGCATGTGCTTTCACTAGTTCAACCTTCACTTTGTCAAGTTTATGCATGTGGTAGTGTTCCATTTCATACTTGGTTGTTCTTCTACTCATGTGCGTGTGCTTTCACTAGTTCAACATTCACTTTGTTAAGCTCATGTATGTGGTAGTGTTCCGTTTCACACTTGGCTGATCTTCTACTCATGCGTATGTGTTCTCACTAGTTCTACCTTCACTTTGTCGAGTTCATGCATGTGGTAGAGTTCCGTTTTCACACTTGGCTGCTTTTTTACTCATATGCATGTGCTCTCGCTAGTTTTACCCCCACCTTGTCAAAGTCATGCACTTGGTAGTGTTCCGTTTCACATTTGGCTGTTACCGCTGTAGGATGGGCGACCGACACTTGGCTGCTACTACGGACGGATGGTTTGATTATGACTAGTTGCCTCTCTCTCACTTTCTCTTCCTCCCTCTCTATCTCACTATCTCTCTCTCCCTCTTCTCCTCTCTCTCTCTCTCCCTCTCTCCCTCTCTCTCCCTCTCCCTCGTTCCCCTGTCTCATACTTCAGCCCCTTCAACCTTCTTCCCTTCCACCACTTGGCATATAACTAACCTTTCACCACTCACTGTTACATTGTCAGGGATCAAACGGTGAAAAGGAATTGCCCTCACTTGGCAGAGAAAGTGTGCAAGGGAAGGACTGTCGGTCCCTTGTGCCGCCGCAAAGGAAAAGGAAGGAGACATTTGAGGGATTGAGAGGAGCCGGGTGACAAAAAAGGGCTAGAGAAAGTTGGTGCAAGGTCAGTTCGACTCAACCATTTCCCCCACTGCATGACTATGAGAAGAGGATGGACTTATTGCGCAAAGGAAGGAGAACAATGAGAAGCCAAAGAAAACGAAAGATTAGGCATGCAGGAAGGGCTATGTGTTGACCCCGATGGGGGATTGTATTGGTCTTTGCTTTTGTGTGGGATTGTGCAGGTTAGTAAAGTCTTGGGATGTCTTGAGCAGGACCGGGCCGGGAGAAATCGGGCGGCAAAGGTAAAGGGGAAGAGGGGGCGAAGGGGCTACGGGCCCTTAGCGTAAAACCTAACCATGCGGGAGACCTTTTGCTTGAGACTTCGAATGCGAAAAAAAAAAAGGAATTAGGCTTGTTGTTGATCAGACTGTGAAGTAGCCTCTGCATGCATGTGAAGGCCCCGAAAGGACTAAGGGGTCTGCTTCAATGATGATGGATGAAATGTATGAGACGCGAGGAGTGTGTAGAGGCGAGGGGGAAGACGGCGTTCCCGCACCCCGATGACGCCGTAGAATTGTGGTGCTTAGGGAAATGGTGTGTGGCCTAAGGATGACGCTTAGCCTGCGCACAAGAGAATAAGAACTCCCGAAGAACCCTTGGACTGCCTACGTATTGGAAGGAGCATTTGCTTGAGAACACAATCAAGAAGAAAAAAAAAATCAGCGTTTGCGGAATGACCAGCGAGACTACCACCCGGCGTGAGGGCTGAGCTACATCCCCAATGTCAAAGCTCTCTCGCGCAATGGCCCACCCCCATCCATCTCAAAGCACTAGGTGGGGGTGACCCTGGGACGAACGGCCCGCGCCCTGAGCATGAGCGTGGGCGGGTAGAGCCAAATGGGACCCGCAGTGGGGTCGACCAAGGCTCGAAAGTCTACCGAGGCTTGGCCCTACACCGGGTGACCCCTGACCTATCACCCACCTGCTGCAGCAGGTATTGCACCTACTCGTGGGTGCCGCTCCTGCATGTTCCCTCGTTGGAGGTTTGAACCCGGATATGGCAGCTATATCGTTCCCATAATACTATAAAGGGATAACTTTGGCGCAGTTATGAAAACCGTTTAAGATCGTACTTCAGGCAATCCCGCGAATACAACACACCCCCACGCGACCTCACCGGACCCAAAATGTAGGTCATATACATTCAGCATTACCGGCCCTTTTGCCTTAAGTTCGATTTCAAACCCAATTCCTGACCACGCCCTGTTCTCGGCCACGGCGTGATGGAGGACTTTCGCCAACATCTCGAGCACGCGGACCCGTCAAACAAGGCACGCACTCAAGGTCCTTGGCTGCCGTGACAGCCATTGAATCCGGTGTCGCATCCGGGTCAAAGGAACGCCAGGCATAATAATAATAACCAACAAATTCAAAAAAAAAAAAAAAAAAAAAAAGATACGACGACCGAGGGAAAAAGAAAATGTCAGCACCTTTCTGGCGTCGCTGACGGTCGGGCCCTCGACCACCGCGGGACTATACCGAACCATGCCGCCGTCGACGTCGTCCTTCGCACGTACGCACAAGTCGTAGGCAAGCCCACCAATAAAAACAGACAAAATCTTTTTAATCCTAATTTAATCAGAAGTGAAAATTTTGTCGACGATCACGCCGATTCTTTAATCATCAACAAGAAAAAAAATCACGCGCGCCTTAAGTCTGCGCGCCCACACACTCTCTACTTTTAGTCAACCATCCAGTCAAGGCAAACCACAGACGGAGCCGCGCTTTGCGCGGTATACTTAAACTCTAAACCAAACTTATTTCCTGTCGCTTGCAAAAAACGGGGCGAATACCCTTATAAGGGTATTCGCACCGACAGCTTACCGGACCATATTAAGCGACGTCCTCGTCGCTCGCAAAATCAAAAAGTTATCAGTTCAACCATAATCCAAATGCTGACGGGAAAATAACCAATCCGATCAGTCGTCAGACTCAGGTCCGAGGCCTCCATCAAATCATGCCAAACACAACTATATGCTGTCAGGATTCCAACATGGGTCTTTATTGTCCTAACAGTCGGACGTCGGTGTACATACGTACTGCAACATAAGTTTCAACGGCCCTCTCAACTGTCCTCTCCCCCTTGTCCTAGACAAACACCGACTTCTCGTTAAGTGTCCCTAGTTTCTACCCTGCAAGCAGGACCATAACTTGGAACGCGGACCCTAACCGAGACCTTTGAAGGCACTCTCGTCTCCCTCCCAACAATTCTCATAATCAAACATATATATATACATAAACCTTATCTTAGACTCTTCCTGCAGTCTTGGCCCACCATATTCTGGGTGATCATGGCAGATCTACAGCCCACCACGTTGTTATTTTAGCGGTAGTGCCCTCGCAGGTTGCGCCACGATAGGCTTTCTCCTGATAAACATTCAATCAGGACTAAAGAAAACTCGACTCTTATCCCACGCCGTCCCACAAGAGTAAAACCCTCCTAGGTGGCCACACCCCTTTAAGTCTTTACTCCCTTGGCAAGACGTAAGCTCACCGTTCAGGTTACGCCGATCAGCAGCCGACACTAGGGGTTGCGCCCTAGTGATGCTAAACTTTACCGTTAGCTTAGTATTCTCATAAATGCCCTGAGATTAGCACAAGTGGCTGGACGGTGTGTCACAATAATACAGGCCTACTGCGGGACTACGCAAAGGTCTGTCACACATAAAAGGTATTTACCAGTTCTCTATGGGACAACACAGAGAAACACGACAACCTCTCCACATTCATAAAACAAAATCATCGCCAGATTCACAAGGTCATGACCTCCCTACTTTATCAGAGCAAGAAGGTCACCTCTCAGTGACATCTCCCAAAATAAATCACGTTTGCGATCTCCAAAATTCCACCAATGGCCAAATACAAACGTGGTCCTTCTCGTCAGTCTTTATTAGTCAAAATCAACTTACCATGCCATTAAATTTATCAACCACCTTTCATATGAAGGACTCACTCAATAGGTTTCCCAGTCATCCCTTCTCTTTCTAGGATGAACTCTCATGCGACCTTTCTTTTAAAACATCTTCCCTCTTTGAAGATGAGTCTTCCAAATAAGCACAAGACAACCTTTTCACTCGAAGGTGTCTCAACCATAAAACAACTCAAACCGAGAGACCAACTTATGGGTCCCCACCACAACTCAACAATAAACATTCGGCATGGTAAGCATTCGAGTCTCAAAGACTCATAGATCCCTTAGGATTCTCACACTTTTCACAAAAATAGACTGCACCCCCTTTTCTTATGCCTGGCCCTATCATCTGCCCATGGGCAGATCGCACAAGTACACCGAAGAGTAGACAATTCACATCCATTCACCTTCACAAAATACACAATACAAGCACGAGATGTTCCTCATACACCTCTCACACAAAACCATCATACATCGGGATAACACCACACTTGTGAGAGTGATTGTGATCGTCATATACACGGGAATAGTCTCAAATATGCATGAACTCAAAGCACACTCAGGGACGAGATATCTCATCTAAACACACAAATAATAGTCTTGATCCACAATTCACTCGGACTAACCAAACCCCTCCTAAATATGGTACATGACTGACCATGTTACCAAGAACGCACTGAAACTGGAAGTGAAATCCTCCTCTCAATGAATCAAAGAAAAAGTATCCCACATGGGATCTCACTAACTCCTGACCCTCATGTTACTAAGAAAAGCCTCAATGGCAACCCTATGTTGTACTCCCCTATATATACACTAACAGCGTAGGTGCCCAACCTTCTAGGGAAAAACTATCATCTGATCCAGAATGCACACTCCACTCACTCTCACTATGTCATAGTGGCTATCGATACATAGGCGAACCAGTCCCTACTCACTCATCTCCTTCTGGTTCTGCCCGTACAACTGAGCTCTACCCCCATCGGCAGTCCGCTCTACCACTCTACCCTGCCTGTCATACATCCGACCACCTCTCTCAGTAACCTTCTCTGCTGCCTTGTCCTTGAGAAACTTAGGACACTGCAAGGCCCTATGCTCCCCATCCTTGCAGAAGAAACAAGACAAGTCTCCTGATTTTCGGCCTCTCCTTCTCTTCTTTTGGGACCCTGGCGATGAGGGTGCCTCGCTAGCCTCTCTGGCCACCTCATAGGATTGGGGCATACCCATAGGCTCCTCAGGTCTCGTCTCTAACTCCTGAGTATTCAACTCCCTCCGTATTCCAACTCCCTCTGGCCTATACTCAGGTGTATCCAACCTCTGTGGCCTACCCTCGATGAAGCTCTCCATCGCAATCACCATCTCTCTCTCATGAGGTTCCTCCACCCTCTGCTCAGGCGAAAACAGACTTGCCTCCTCCTGCATCGTATCAACTGCCTCAAGAAGCACATCAATAGACCCTTCCCCTGAACCTTGAACCGGCTCGCTACTGGCTATCTGCTGCCCCCCCTAGACCAATAATGGCATAGCCATTGTCATGGGCTCCACAACTGTTGTTGGCAACGTGGCAAGTTCAGAAGGCGCCCTGAACTCGACGGCCTCTCTCTCTGCCTCCCTCTTTGTCTTTGCCTCCTTAGGCTCCAGGATAACTCTTCCCGTGGGCGGCTCCTGGGGGAGTCCCACTGCGGATGGCTGCCCGGATAAGCCCTGTACTGACTCTCTCTGAGTGTCATGTCAACTACTCCTTGCCCCGTCCACTCCTTCGGTAGGTCCCTCTCTCTCTGTCCTGTCCGCCACGTCTCGAGGCTGCCGCCTCAAATCCTGGATGATGGAAGCTTGACTAGCCACCAATGCCCTGAGCTCTCAGACCTCCGCCTCAACCACCTCCAAACGCACTCCATCGCTCGCTTCCTTCATCCTCTTTCCGGCCAGATCATCTTCCAACATCAGACACCTATTGAAAGATGTCTTGGCCAGAAAGCGGATCTTACGGTCCAAGTACTCATCTGCCGTCCTCGATGTCCCGAGTCCTGCCCTCTCAGGAGTTGCCAACCCCTCGCCATGCTGCCCAAAAAACTTGTCCCACATCTCCTTGATCCCACATGGTTTAGAGGCCGCGTAAGGTGGCTGATCCGGAAGTGCTCCGCCACCTCTAATCTCTGCCTTTCCTACCAATTCTCCTCCACGCGCTTTCCAACTCTGGCCCGTCTCTCCTCGGTTGTCTCCCGTGCCAGTACTCTCCCTCTTGTGCGATGGTCGACTTTCTCCGGAATCTCGGCGCCCGTCTCCCTCTCTGGCTGGCGTGGCTCTTGCGGTGGCTCCATAGGCACAGGCTCCATGCGCAGCCAGATACCTATCAATCGTGGAGATGACCTCACTTCTCCAGTCAGTCAGTTTTCGCTCCATCTCCATCCTCACCCCCGGTGAAAGGGTTGCTTTTGGCTGCGGGGACGGACTCTCCTCCTGCCGAGGCTCTCTCCCCTCCTCGTGGGCGATCTCTGGTACGATCTCTGGCCCCAACTCTGCAGCACGCGCCTGAGGTGGGGTATCCTCAACCTCTATCACCTCTCCCATAGCATGCCCTTCCTCAGCATCCTGCCTTGTCTCTCGCTCTGGCTCGCGAACCTCCTCTCGAGGTAGCCCCTCTGCCGGCTCACCACGCTTCTTGCTAGTCGGCGACACTCTCCACTGTGAAACGTCTAGATGTGCCTCCAACTCCTGTCTGGGCTCAAGGTCCCTCTGCCTCTTGCTCCTCTGTCGCCTCTCAACCCTTGGCGGGGGTGGCTCTGGTCGTCGAAAGGCCTCCCTCAAATGTGCCCTGCAGCTCTCCTAGTCCCGGGCCATATCCCTAACCTGTCTGGCCAATGGTCTCTCCACCTTTCTAGTCCATAGGGGTAACGTCCGCGCCCACTCATCCCTCAGTATGCGCTGATCGTGCATAAACTGCTCGAAAGCGGGGATGAAGTCCTCCACATTCCCAATCTCCAGGCAGATTGGCCTGCCATCTGGCCCCACAGGCGATGGTCTTAGCTCCTGCATCCTCATTTCCACCTCTGGCCAGGTCCTTGCCTCCCTACGGATCTGAGCGATGGGCTCCTCGAACCTACCGGCTCCTCTCAGTCTCTCAATCATCTGCGTCACTGTCCATCCCATGTGCTCCGCATGCCCTCTGAAGTCGTCCAAGAAGAGCTCTATATCTCTGTCGTCGTATACGGGCGTGTGCTCCCTATGGCGTGTCCCATGCTGCTCATAACCTCCCGATGCTCCCAATGGCCTTGCCTTCGTACGGATCCGTGCGATGGGCTCCTCGAACCTACCGGCTCCTCTCAGTCTCTCAATCATTTGCGTCACTGTCCATCCCATGTGCTCCGCATGCCCTCTGAAGTCATCCAAGAAGAGCTCTATATCCCCGTCGTCGTATACGAGCGTGTGCTCCCTATGGCGTGTCCCATGCCGCTCATAACCTCCCAATGCTCCCAATGGCCTCCGTGGCGGCCACGTCCCCCTCCCTCCTCTCGGCATGGTTGTCTTCGTAAAGTCAAGCCTACACACCAGGCGAAGGAGACGATAGGCACACAAGCCTACACAACAGGCGAAGGAGACGATAGGCACACATTGGGTAAGCAAACAGGCGGAAATAAAACAGGCTCAGGTCAGACCAAGCACACCCATCAAGCACACTTATCCAACCTATACATCCTATCATCCCTTTCCCTCTTATATCCTATCTATGGATCTCTCCTATGGACTCGGGATCTTACTTTAAAAGGAGTGGAATCATCTATCTTACCTCCTTTCTTGCCACAAATTTCTTCAGTCTCGTTCTTGATACCCAATCCTTTCATTCCGTCTCATCCATCTCCTCAATTTGGTATGCGGCAAAATCTCCACATCGCACAATCCGATAGGGTCCTAGCCACCTTTTGTCAAGCTTTCTGGACCACTGCTTCTCCAAGGATGAGTCATATAGCAATACAACATCCCCAACTGCCAAAGGTACCTTCCGTACTCGCGCTCCCAACGAGCCTTATCATCCATGCGGCTCTTCTCCACTTGGTTGGACGCCTCCTGAATCCTTTCCTCAATCGCACCCACCTGTCGCGCTCGAATATCGAGCAATTCCTCGAAGGACAGATTGGTTTCTAAATCCTGACGCCTCCAAGTCTTCAGGAAGCTCTCAATTGGGAAGGTGGCGTGTCTCCCGTACCATATCGTGGCTGGCGCCTACTTAGTGGTCTTCTTTACCGTAATATTCTCGACGAAAAATGTTGCCCTCAGGTATCTTGGCCACTGATTAGGCCTACCTTCAGTCCACTTAGCCAGAAGGCTTGTGATGGTGCTATGCCCTCTTTTAACCGGAGCATTTGCTTGGGGGTGTACGGCCGTGGTGTAATTGGCTACCACGTCTTACCTTGACAACAACTCTTGCACTTCCTGGCCGGTAAACTCTGACCCTCTATCCATCACGAACTCTCTGACAAAGGGATAGCGCAGGTAGTACTCCTCGATGCAGCTTACCAAGACCGATCCGGTCTACACCAACTAGCGATGGTCGACATGCAATGGTATGGTGCAGAATGAGGAAAAAAAAACATTCAACACATGGAAACACCGACAAGGATCCTGAGCTGCCTGTCTAGCAGGTGGCAGCTGGAGATTGGCAAAAGGGTAGGAGCCGACTAGCAGACGCTTTCTTAGCTATCTGTTCTATAAAAAAGATGTATTCAAGGGACGCTGGACCCGGTTTCCAGCAAAAAAAGAGACTGGGGCTCGTGGGGGGGAGGGAGGAACTAGTGGGGCCCCCTTTCCCTCCTGCCTGCTCAGTCAATCCCCTGGAGGTCAGGGTAATCAACGCTGGCAGGAATCTTTCACAGTTTCTCTGACATATGCCAGAATTCGATCTGTATATGGGACGCTGATTTTTCAGCTATCTGTTCTGTAAAAAAAATGTATTCAAGGGACGCTGGACCCGGTTTCCAGCAAAAAAGGTACAGGCGCTCGTGGGAGGAGGGAGGAACGAATGGGTAGCAATAGGTATCTGGCGTCGGTTCCAAGGTGAAGAGGTTCGCCCTTTCCCTCCTGCCTGCTCAGTCAGTCCCCTGGAGGTCAGGGTAATCAATGCTGGCAGGAATCTCTCACAAAGGATTTCTCTGACATATGCCAAATTCGATCTGTATATGGGACGCTGGGCCCGTTTCCCAGCAGGTGATGCTCCCCACCAATAGATGGAGCCTCTCCCGAGGTGCTAGTGGTGTCTGCTCTTATCAGCACCACTAACACTGGAGGGGGGTGTTTAAAAAAAATAATTAAAAAAAATAAACGAATGACTCGTTCATCTACACAGCCAGAAAGGTTATCACGCGCATCGAAGATATAATTGTAGCCTGTGTATCTTTTGAACGCCGAATGGGCGGAATTCAACGCCCGTTCATCCGTTTGACGGGCACCTGGACCCCCGTTGAATCGCGTTTAACGTGAAAACGGGGGCGTCGCGTCGAATTCCAAAAAACGGAATTCGACCGTTGGGCCTCGGACAAGTAGCCCTATGGGCCGGAACACTAAAAACAGTAAAAAAAATAAAAAAACTTGACCCCTATCAACAGGGTGGGGTGGCCAAACATGCCCCTCCCTTTCGAAAATCGAACTGCAAATGAATCCATTCAGTCTTTTTTTTTGTTTTGTTTTTTTTAAGCATAGTGTGAGAGTTGCCCCCCACGACGGTCGGCAGCTCCTGCCTGGTTGGCTGCCAAGAGAGAGAGAGAGAGCAAACAAATAGCCCTTTGCCTGGTATCACAGAAACCCTTGCGGGTAATCTGAGAGGCCCTGCAAATTATTAGCAAGGGCCCTCTCGTTGTGAAAGAGGCACCTCTCAAACACATTGCAAGGCAGTAGCACGCCGACTATATATGGTGTAGATTCATATTCAGGTCCGTGTTTCAGAAGTTATGGGACCACTGGGCAGTAGCAGGCCAACTCACCACGTGATTTTCAGGGCTTTCCTCCACTACTCACCAAATGTGCAAAACTCGAATGAATCTTCTGCTAGAACATGGAATCATATGTTGCCATATGTTTTGTCTTTTGTGCAAGTGTTGACGAGTGGAGCTAGGCCCTTAGGGCCACTGCTCGTAGGAAAAGGAAAACAAAAGAAATAATAAAAAAAAAAGTGCAAAACTCGAATGAATCTTCTCTTAGAAC